TGGGTCGTATATCTAAACTCGCTCCAACGCCACTGTTGACCCTGTCAGAGTTTCGCTGTGAACTGATCAGCCGCTAGGTTACGTTCAGGAAGGAAAGACGACCATTTTTTGACTACTGGCTGTCTTACCAGAGTAGTAATTTGAACATCGCAATAGGCGTTCAAATGCTTCATCGATTCCACATCAAGATCAGATCCATGGTGCATCCCAAGAAGAACAATGAGCGTCCCTATTTCAAGGCGTTGAACGTCTCTCACGCTCCGGCACGTCAACCGTTGGCGTCAGTTGGATCTGTTGGGGCCAAGGAGGAATTCCAGGAAGTTGACGAAGACATGGAGGATTCAGAAGCTTCCGAGTTGAACGAGAGGCTCAAAAAGGTCCGTATGCTCTCCGTTTCATGGCATTTCAGTATACTCTGAACGTTACCTGTGTTCAGGAAGCGGCTGAATCGTCAGCGGTCAGCGTCTAAGTCATCCTTCATGTGCTGCTGCTCTTCGGTCGTCGATGCTGCTCAGTAAGGCAGCCGCCTTCACCCGTCCGTCACCCGTTCTTCGCTATGTACCTAAACGCTGTGTGTGTGTGAACAGTTTCGGCCCCGCGCATCGCTAGTTTCAGTCAGCTTCATCCTGTGTACTCCAATTCCCATCATCTTCTACCAGCTATCTCTGTCCACGTATCTTTCAACAAAAAGAGTTTTACATGTGCACGTCATTTCCCAGTTTTCTCATTCTTACTGTACTATATTCTCATATACTGTATTCATATGTTTGATTTTATATTATGATTTTTCATATTTGTTCTATATAAGGATTTTCGTTGATGTTCTTTCCCGGTTGGTTAGTCTTCGATCCCGGTTAGTTATGTATCCATCTTTTTTTTCTAGAATCCCATCTTTTTCTTCTGCGTTACACGACAGATTCGACAAAATTCGTATATGCCTTCATTTGCACAGACTTCTATAAGATCCGCCCCCGCCCCCCATATTCGTTGCAACTTCGAGTTGCCCCCCGCCCTTTCTCGGTTAGTGCCCGGTGTAGATGTTTTCTCGGTGACGTTTGGTTCGCGTTCATTCATTTCACACAATATCTTCTTAGTACAAGGTGATATGTCTGCTGCTGCCTCATCTCGTGTGTGTCTCTCCTCGTTCGTTCACATTTATCTGTGTGTGTATACGTGCACGTGCACGTGTATGTCTGT